GGTCACGCGAGACGTTTCTCCCGTGCTAATGTCGGCCCGGAACACGCCCCAAAATCCCTCGTCGTCCTTGCGGTGGAAAAATATGACGCTGTCGCTTCCCCACGTCGGCCACCCGCCCTTCCTTACGACCAACCTGCGCTCCAAGGGCCTCTCTACATTCATCACAACAATACAAGTGTTCAGATCTTCGATCTCGCCGTTCCAACCAGCTTTCCTCTGGAACGACGCCACCGCTATCTTCTTCCCAGACGGCGACACCGAGGGGCTTAGATCAGCTTGCAGTTTTGGGGTGAGGCGGTGAGTTGCTCCCGTCTTGAGGTTGGTTTTATAAACTGCAGTCCAGGGCTGGCGGCGATCAACAGCGGGGTCCTTGGTGGTGACATAGACGAGATAATCACCGGCGACACAACCGCTGTCTTCCATGCGAACAACATCATCGGATGTGCCGAAAACATCGGCCAAACTGAAGACCTCGACGTTGTCATTAACGAAGCAAAGAGCTACGTGAAGGGTTTCGAGGTTGCCTCGTTCGGAGACGAAAACCATGCCCGAGAGGCGACCGGAGGTTATGCCGTCCTGATCCTCTTTGAAGAGGCCCAGCTGGGAGGCCAGTTTCGGGCGCATGAGGATAGTCTTGAGGCCCTCCGGTGGGATGACTCGGCCGTTGTAATTGTAGGAGACTCCATCGGTCATGGGAAGCTCATCTCGCTTCGACGCCGGTGGTGGAAGCCGGGGACACGAGAATACGTCCAGCGGCACCGGTGGTCGATAGCTTGAGAAAAAGGCAATGCTACCTCTCTTCTCTGCGGCCATCTACAATGATGATTGCTAATTTGTTAATTCACTCTAGCTAGTAGATCAGTGGAGTATCCAGGATCCCATGCATGCATGTTGGGGGCCAAAAATTAAATATAAACGTCGATCAGACCAAAATATATAAAAGATTGATTATGCCTGGCAGTAACTGCTAACGATCGAAGGTACAGATGCATAGGATTCACAAGAGCTACTGCATGAACTCCTTCGATGTAAGTTGTCGATTCTAAAATCGTGGGTGACGCCCTTTAATTAACAGAAATAAATTTATCAAGTAGTTGATCTAAAAAATCAAATGTCTCTTGCAACTTCTCCTTCAATACAAATAATGATATATTTTTTTAACAGTACGTAAATCACAATAACTTGTACATCACAACAAGCATCAACAAAGCATTAATATTAAAAATGAAAAAATAAATAAACACAAGAACAGGCTTGCTAGATTTGAAATTTTCAACAAGCCAACGACAAATCATGAATTTGGCTTCACTGCTGCAACATAGAACAATAGATATTAAGTAGGAATTAGCATTAAATTAGGGCATTTTGTTTCTCAATGTTGACAGAATTAAACCCAATTCCTCTGACTATACAAATACATAAACTAACAAGTATATTAACAACGAATTAATGTAGTGATTCTTCACCTTAATCGGGAAAATGCTTCAAAATTTTGACAAAAAATTTTGTTCGGGCCACGAGAGCTAACTGAGATTTAAGGTTAGACTACTTAAGAAGTGAAAATTGAGAACATAGGAATAGTTATGGTTGTGGCTTATCAAAGAGAAGAAGAGTAGGAGTAAGAAGTAAGGCTTTTTTTCTTTTTTCTTTCTTTTTTTTTAATTTCTCACGCGTAGGCACTTTCTATTTTAATTTTCTTTTATTTATTAAATGTGATTTGACTCTGTGTGTGGGGGTTCGATTTTTTTATTATTATTTGGGTTCAGGGGTGGGTTCGGGGGTTGTTCTCTCTCCGCTGCAGATGTTACTAATAAGCCATCTTCGAATAGCTAAGAATTAATATAGAAGGACCATAGGAGTCATCGGATTTAAGGGCCTTAAAATATAGTCCAATTTGGTGTTTATTTTTATATTTATGTTTGGCAACTAACATACGCTAGCTGGCATTGCCATTGTTTAAGTTGTGAATATTTTATATTAGTGCAAGTGGACACTTCATGTATTTTCGAGAGGATTTTTTTTTTTTTGGGAAAAATGTGTTAAGGCCCTAAAATCAGGAAGATGATGTGGCCCAGTCCCATCAGCTTTCCCCTTTTTTTTTTTGCCAAAAAAAACAAAATAATGTGGTCCAACCCAAAAGCCCACTTTTGTACATGTACTCAATGTATTTTTCAAAGCCTTCCGAAATTGCCCTCGTCTCACACCCAGGAAACCTTCCCCTTAACCCATAAAGAATGAGATCACAGACTTGATTAAATTCCCCTTAACCTTGGTTTAAATCTTTTCCTTTTCTTAAATTCTGTCATTTGATTAAATTTTAGTTATAATCACTTGAATTAATCTTTGTTATTGGTATTTAGTTATGCTGATTTATTCTGTAAATTAATGGTATTAGGGATCACAGACTTGCTATAGAGGTAAAAATCTCATAAGAAGATACTTAATGTTATTTTAATAGTTTTATTGTTTTATATTAATTTTGAGCTACTCCAAAGCATAAAGAATGAGATCACAAGCGGAAATAATGTCTTCCCCTAATAACTATATATGTATCTAACTAGTGGGAGAGAACTGGTTTTTATGTTGAGTTGGTTGGAATTATGCCATATACATTGCATGTCATGTCTTGTTAAAACCTGCTTGTATGGAGTTATTCCCTTATATCTATGTGAATATTGATGTTTTTTATTGTTGATCTAATCATTTTTCATTGTTAATTAATTTTAGCTTCATTTTATTTCTATATATAGGACGTATTGCCTTTATCTAGTTTTTATTTTTGATGCAGTTTGGCCTTGGTGATTCCCTTGCGCGGATTGAAGCTTGTTGAAGTCGGATGACATAGTGTAAATGTAATTATTTGTATTTCTATTCTATGAATGTAATCAAATATTTTTACTTACATTTTGATGTTGTGTACTAATATGTTCCTTGGTTCCCATTAGTAAAGCAATTTGATTGATGTTCTACTTTTATGAAATTGATCTATGATAATATAGGTTATCTGGATAGTTGATTAGTTGGAAAAGCATATGATCTTCCAGAAATATATTGTTCTATTTATTTGGTCATTTGGTAAAAAGCGTCGTGGTAGCGAGCAAAAAAGCATTGTTTTGAACTGTTGTGTTTGATCAGAGGCAACGATTTTCGGTCTAGGGAGGCAGTTTTGAACTGTTGCTATAGAACAAAAACGTGGTGGTGAAAATATTAACTACAAGTTGTACATGTTAAATTTTATATGTATATGTTAACTTTCACACAAACATGTTAGCTTTAACATGAATATGTTAACTTTCACTTGAAAATGTCAACTCTCAACGGTACATGTTAAACTTCTGATTTATATGTTAACTTTCAGCCGAACATGTTAACGTCAACGTGAACATGTTAACTTTCACTTGAACATGTTAACTCTCAGATGAATATGTTAACTTTCTGCTATATATGTTAAATTCATTCTAACATGTTGACTTTAACATGAACATGTTAACTTTTATTTGAAGACGATAACTCTCATCTGAACATGTTAACTTTTAGATATAAGAAATGATAATATGCTGCTAAGGAAATGATAATATGCTGCTACGAAAATGCTATTGTGTACTCAAACAATATCAGCTGTAAGAATGTAAGAAGTTTTGTGTAATGTACTTGTTTAGCTGGGGTATACTGTTTGTATTTCCTATAAAATGTCTTGGTGCTACAACTATCAGATGTATATGTTAACTATCATCTGCATATGTTAACTTTCTTATGAACATGTTAACTTTCAGCATAATATGTTAACTTTCACTATTATATGTCAGCCTTCTTTATAACATGATAACATGCAACTGAATATGTTAACTTGTTAAATGTACATGTTAAGTATTGACTTTTCATATTGACATTCAAGCAAACATGTAGCTTTTCATTTGAACCTGTTTAAAATATATGTTGCATCAAAACAAAACGTAAACATATAGTGGCAAAAGTACTAGAAAATACAATAAGAACAAAAAAGGTCAAGCTTGCTGCATTGTTTGTCATCCACATCAACTGTTTACACAACTAAACTAATATGCACAATACATACATGATTGATTCAACCAATCAATTTTTAGAACAACTTTCTCTCATCCTTATCAAATATCTCTGCTTAATTCTTTTGTTGTCATCCTTCTATTAGAAGTTCAGCTGATAGCCTGGCACGGATGACATCCGACTCAGCATCGGGAGTAGTTACTTGATTCGTATCAACCCCATGGATTATAGCCTTCAAATGTCTCTAACCACATGCTTGTTCTATCTATTAGAGCTTTCATGACCTGTAAATTTACCATGCAAGAGATGAAAATTAAATTGCATAACAACACAACATACAAAAAATCTAGATAGGCATATATTTAACATATTAAACTTGCATGGTCATCGGTACGGCCTCCACGTAGCAGATAAAGAAGCTCTAAAGAATCCATACTACTGTTCAACGTATTAACAATAATACACGACATAAAATATAACAGTAAGAAACAAACGTTAACAGTTGCTGATAAACATGCACATGTAACAGTGAAATGTAGCATGTACAAGCAAGCATTAACATAAATGTCCATAAGTTAACATATAAAGGGAAATATTAACATTTATACACAAACATTAACATGAGTGGATAAAAGATCACAGATAATATGCAACCAAACATGAATGAGAGTTACTAGAGTTACTAATAGAATTTCTGATTGCAAAAATTCCTAAGCTTTTTGGACCGAATTTCTATGCAAGAGTTCTTCAAGAATCCCCAAAACACCCCCAACATAATGATAACAATAATGCCACGCATTCTAAATGTGGTTCCAATCATTTGGCAGCCAAACAATTTCTGTTGTGTTTGATACATGAACTTGCAAAGCCACAACAAACACCTCATGGCTGACTCTCAGCTAGAAGAGGTGCAAACAAAATGTATCAACTATATTATAGATAGACATTATAGTCAAACACATGATTCATAAAACTCTATACCCTAATGAATGAAATGCATCTGGCAAGTGGACACGTATGAATGTAATGAAATCTGATATTTTTGCATATTTACGAAGATCTATTTCCTGTTCATAGGTTAATGAGGAATCATATTTACAAATTAACATGCACATCGTATCTCTAAAACTACCAGAAGCAAGCGGTAGTATCTAAGACATGCTACAAGTCCGGTGGAAGATGGAGATTTAAATTGTTCATTTGCACACCAATTTGGTAAAATTTAGTCATGATTATGGCACCTGCATATAACAAAAGTCAGGATCAATAATATGTTCTCTTTTGCGAACCTTATTAATGACCATTATCTCCATTAGCATGCAACTTGATTGCCCAAATTATCATGAATTGGCTTTGAGATCAAACCTGAACTCATCTCCCTCCCTCCCTCCCTCCCTCCCTCCCTCTCTCTCTCTCTCTCTCTCTCTCTCTCTCTCTCTTAATAACAGAGGGGGATAACATAAAAGTGTTAGTAATTAATCATAACATTCAATCAGTATGAACCCATACTGGAAAGACACGTCCTCTTTTATCACTTACGATAATTACACAAAAAGACAGGGTGAGTACTGCATAAAGATCCTAATTTTGTGCGCATGACATTTGCAATTGAATATCCTACTTGCATTGTTAAAGTGGACCAATGACTTACATGTATTAACATCTTAATGCCTTACAACAAGAAATTTGGTGACTGGTGAGCGAGAATCTCATGAAACGGACATGCCATAAAAAAGATGTTCAAATTGAGAGTTAAAAAGAAGAACTAATTAAACCAAGAGAACAATCTTATCAAGTTAGCTACGTGCCTCAATAGCTTTAACCACTTCATAATTGTATCAAAGACACATTTTAGGTAGCTTACAAAAAAGATGTTTCATAATATAACTCCTAGCAACTTCATGTAGGGAGATATTCATCCGAATACTCTCTCTTTCTTTAAATATTTCCACAATTAGGCTTGTTCATACAATATATCAGCAAGAAAAAATTGGAACCATCAATGACATGAAATTGGAAATCGATGGCACAATTGACAAAAAGAGCTCCTCCCCAATCTCAAGATTGAACAAAGAACAGATAGAAGGAAGTTGACCTCAATCTATCAATTCATGGTCAGCTTCGGAGCACCAATCAAGATCAAATCTTGTAGAGGACCCAAGATTCAGAGATGGACGTAGAAAGATTTGGGACAAGAGAGAGTGGGGTTCAAATAGTTTTTTCAAGGTGTTGGGTTTTAATTGGAGAGGGAGAGGGGCAAAGAGAGGGAAGAAGGTACATGAACCATGTGAATCAATGAACCTGAATCCACGCACGAGCCTAAAAGATGACGGAAGTTCTGTCAAAAAGATGATAGAAATTTCCATCAAATTGGAACCATCAATGACACACGAATCAAATCAAGTACATGTTCCCAGTAAAATTGATCAAGAACTCCTCCCCAGTCTCAAGATTAGTAACACTTCCACTGCTCACAACAGAAATTACCGTCAACAAACTTTCACCCAAATTGGTCTGGAGTAAAAAGGGAGAAGCTTTTTACTCTTCCATCGGTGGGTAAATCGAGGTGAGCTTGTGGGCGACTCTGAGAGCATCGAGAGCACGCCAGGCGTTAGGGAACAAGGAGAGCACTGCGCCCGTGGTCCTAGGCCCGTCGGATCTATCCAGCACGACGCTATGAACGTCCAGGCTCTGCAGCTCCACCGTCGTCGCCAGGCCGACGACCGACGATCACAACCTCTTGCTCCTCCGCCATTGAACTGATTGTTCTCTTGAGGCTGAGACTCAAAGAGAGAGAGAGAGAGAGAGAGAGAGGGAGCATTTTGGGGTTTTGTAAAAATGTTTGTCTCTGAGCTGTCTTGGAAATGTAAATAGGTGCTGAAAATAATTGTTTCATGTATTAGGGGCTTCGGCACACAAAAAATAACACGGGGGGCTAGGTCACATTGACTTTATTTTTTGTGGCCTTGACACATTTTTTCCTTTTTTTAAATGGAAACTCCCTCTGTTTACCCTTTCATAAGAACCTACTTGTACCACTTTCTTTAGTTAAAAACCATCTTGTGGCTTAGCCGTTCCGTTAGTTCAAAACTCCCCATTTAGTTTACTCTGTTAGTACAAAAACATTTACTCCAACTAGCTAGCATAGTGTACATGTGATGCACATGGACATACTTGAATATTTGCAATGCATATAGAAAACCAATAATGAGCATGATGCGAACTTGATGGTATTTAAATACAAATTTTAAAAATTTTGGTGATATTTAAATGAAAGTTTAAAAACTTCTTGGGACAGCTAAGTGTTGTTATAAACAAGTGAGAGTATACAAGTGAAAGAGTTAAAAACTTTACGGTATATATGTGCTGCCAAAATAAAGTGAGGATGTATAAGTGTAATGTAGTTGAAACTATAGAGTATGTCTACGTTGGTGAACACCGACACCATTAGTTGGGGTTATTTTAAAGCAATGGGTGAGAGAAAGACACTGGAGATTACAGGAGACATTGATCAATTTGCAATAGAAAATGGATTTGGTGGTGAAAAAAGCGATTAGAGAAGATAGGGTCGAAGTGTGTTCGACCAAAAGTGGTTGATTGAAAGTCATGGTCTTTGTATAAAATAAAATTTTGAAGGTGCTTACCGTAACCGTTCTATTTTAAAGATGGTTTTCATAAAATAATAATTTTTATACATAATTTAAATATTATAATTTATTAACAATAAAAAATTCGGTCGAAATATCACAAAATTTTTAAGCTATAGTACATAAAAATTGGCGGTTCTCATATATGCACAGAAGAAACGACCAATAAAAAACTACCACATAACAACTATAAGGGACAATAAAAATTTTTTGTCATAATCACAGAAAAATGATGGGTTGAATATATACATGGAAAAAAAGTTAAATAAAAAACTAGTACACAATATTTTAATAAGGGATGAATACTTTTTGGGTAGAAATCGCAATTCGTGGGCTACAGTGTTTAGAATAGTTCATCTACTATATGCATAGAAAAGACTCAAATGCAAAATTCACAAACTAATTTTTATGCATGATGACAATTTTTATGGGGTCGAAATCCCGCAAAACTTGTGAGCTATATATGCACAAAGAATGTCAAATAAAAATGCAATAATTTTTATGCAAATTGACAAATTTTTTGTGCTTAAAATCCCATAAGAATGGTGGGTAGCATACATGCATAGAAAAGAACACAACTAAAAAAAATTACCACATAATAATTTTCTGGATTTTTTTTAAAAAGACATTTTTTGCTAAATAATTAGTAAAATCGATCATTTGCTAATTATTTAGCAAAATCGACCTCTTTTTGGCCTGTTGGCCAAAAAGATGTCGATTTTAAAAAACACTCTGCTCAAAACATACGGGACTAATAATCTCGTATGTTTTGAGTGCACTAATCGCTAGCTAAAACAAAAACCAAAAGTATACGGGACTAATAGTCATGTATCTTTTCTTCTACTAGCGTTCCCCCATCACTCCTCAGCGTACACTTCGATTCCAATCCAACCAAAAGTATCTCATCTCCTTCGCCATCAATGGAGACAGAGCCCAAGCGCCTCTTCCCCGCCCATCGGCATGGGCACGAGCTCCTTCAAGCTCCCTCGACCGCCTCACCTCCCCCGTTTCTCCTCGGCCGCAGCCTCACCTCCTTCTAATCCCCCCTCCCCCCAATCTCCCGCTCCCTCTCCGCCTCCGTCCTTCTCCTACCTCTTCTCCTCCCTTCCCCTTCCCCTTCCTCATCCGCGTCATCGCCACCTCCACCCTCCGCTCCGCCCCCAACGGGCCCACCTCCTCTCCCTCGCTCGGCCTCACCTCAACCTCAACATTGAAGTCCTCTCCGGTGCCGACGAGGCCCGCCTCGTCTACCTCGGCATCCTCCACTTCCTCCCCGTCCTTCACTGCCGCGTCCTCGCTGTCGACATCGGCGGCGGATCCACCGAGTTCGTGTTAAGGTTTCAAGGTCAGATCTTGTTCTCGGCATCTCTCAACCTCGGCCACGTCACTCTCACCGAGTCCTTCGCCGAGCTCTTCGCTGATCTCCGAAGCCATGTGAGGACAAAGCAAATAAGTCTCCGTGAGGAGGCTACAAACCAAAACATACGGGACCAGTAGTCCCGTATGTTTTAGTTAATATACTAATCTCGGATTAGTGCACTTAAAACATACGGGACTACTAGTCTTGTATGTTTTGAGCAGGGTGTCTTTCAAAATTGACTTCTTTTTAGACTGTTGACCAAAAAATATCGATTTTGCTAAATAATTAGCAAAATGGTCGATCTTGCTAATTATTTAGCAAAAAAATATCTTTTTTTAAAAAAACCCAATAATTTTCAAGTAGACTGACATGATTTTGCTGTAATAATACCTCAAAATTTTTGAGCTATGGTCTATAAAAATTGTGGGTCCCATAAATAGAAAAAAAATCAAGTGAAAAATCTGCATAACAAATTCTGCACCGGATGATAATTTCTTTCAATCAAAATCTCATGAAATTCGTGGGTGATACTCCATAAAAATGATGGTAGCATTATCTTAAAAAATAACTCAAATACTATTTAAAACATAATAATCGTAAGGTTTTTTTTTCTTCCTAGAAGTCACCTTAAGATAGAGTCATTATACATAAACCACCTTTTATTTATACGTAATTACAATAGATTTGGGTTCCAATCAACCACCTTCCAGTCAAGTTTTGCTTTATAAATCTAAAAATACCCTTAAAATTTTCACATTTAAGGCACGTTACTCACTTTGCTAATGCCACTTTGTTAATGTTTAGGTTTAGCTAAAATACAAGTCAAATCCAATAACATAAATTTGACTACGAGGTGGTTAATTGGAACAAAAACCCACTAATTGTTTATGTAAAAATTGAAGATGAAATGTGATTTATAATGACTACTTCTAAGGTAGAAGGTGATTTCCAGAAGAAGAAAAAACATGCTTGTAAACAGATCCCTTCCAGCAAAATATCTCGGCATGTCTTGGAATATGGCAAATTATCTAGAAAGGATTTACAGTCCATCCTGGATAAGTTGAAACACTAGCTCTTTGGGGAAAGCGCAAAAATTTGCCCATTGATGATAAACTTGTCCTCATCAATTCTAATTTAACTAAAAAAATACACAGAAAGTGACCGCAAAGATTTAACTAAAAAGATCAATTTTATTAATAATGCATTCATAAACTAAACATCCATAGCAACAATAAAAAAAAGGAATCTGTCTTCACATAAATAAAGAGTATAATTAATAAATTGGAAACTTAATTATCACATTCTAGATATCTGCAGAGGAACCATGACCTCAGTCATTTCCTCCCTGCAAACGATCTTGAACAAGTCGGAGATGCCATGACGAACTGAGAGACGTTTTCGACACTCTTCGGCAGCATCAATACCTGCGCTGTACGCTCCATGAACAGATCCAGAATGGTCTGTGCTCGTTGCTTCTCCGGCAAAATAAAGATTGTCCACTGGGGCCTGGAGCCGCTGGCACAGATCGGCAGGCTTCCCGACTAAATCACACGAGTATGACCCGAGAGAGTCTGGATCTGATCCCCAACGCGACATTAGATATTGTGTCTGCACATAAGAGAAAACACGTCAGTTGACCGTTTCATGAAGAACTAAAAGGATTCAGATCCTCTCTACCAAAAAAGTGGTGGAGAGACCAATGCTATATTACACCTATTGATTAATTTAGTGGATACTTGTGATTTGTTTTTAGTGCGAATTAAAAATGGATGCAATTCATGGGAGTACTCGGAAGTGCTATATTTAGAATGAGTCACAACCATACAATAGACAAATCAACGATTGGAAGAAAAAAAAAGTAATCATCTCGCCACTGGTTTTTTTTATAATGGAGATGATCCTACTCTATTTCTATTGGTGACGGAAATTGGATAATTTCTACGTTTATGAAGTAATAAGCCAACTAATGGAAATACACGTGTATATCCATTCAGGTGCGATATAGAGATGCTATGGATATATGAATGAGATGCTTAACAGTTACGGAAACATGTAAATTTTATATGACACCGTTTAGCGTGTAAAATTACAGCTCCTACCATAACTTCTGATTTTGGGTAAGTGAAAACTGAAAGATCTTAAAGATAACATCAAAATTGTCAAGGTTCAAAATAATCGAGGTTCAAATCTATCTAGATATCAATTTAAAGATCTCATGAAAAAAGATTTACCGATTACTCATATGTCACGGATTACTCATATTTCAGGGATATATGAATGAGATATTTTAATTGTCCCTCAAATACATAAACAATTAATCCCAACTGTCAGTGTAAAATTATAGATCTCACCATAAGTTCTGATCTTTAGGTAGTGAAAAGAAGGTAAAGATGATATCAAGGGAATCCACCAACTAGATGCGCATTCAGAGAAGAGTTCATGGGAAAAGGTCTGCTACATTACTACCATTTCATATGTCACGGATTACTCATATTTCAGGGATATATGAACGATATATTTTAATTATCCCTAAAATACATAAATAATTAATCCCAACTGTCAGTGTAAAATTATAGATCTCACCATAAGTTCTGATTTTTAGGTAGTGAAGAGAAGGTAAAGATGATATCAAGGGAATCCACCAACTAGATGCGCATTCAGAGAAGAATTCATGGGAAAATGTCTACCAAATTATTAACATATTAATCCCAACTGTCAGTGTAAAATTATAGATCTCACCATAAGTTCTGATTTTTAGGTAGTGAAGAGAAGGTAAAGATGATATCAAGGGAATCCACCAACTAGATGCGCATTCAGAGAAGAATTCATGGGAAAATGTCTACCAAATTATTAACATAATCCCAACTGTCAGTGTAAAATTATAGATCTCACCATAAGTTCTGATTTTTAGGTAGTGAAGAGAAGGTAAAGATGATATCAAGGGAATCCACCAACTAGATGCGCATTCAGAGAAGAATTCATGGGAAAATGTCTACCAAATTATTAACAT